TTAGTGTGACGTGGTGGTGCTCAATGGTACGCCAGTAGCGAAAAAAAAGCAGAAAAATCCGTCAAGAAAACGCAAAACGGGACCCCTTTTTGGCCGTTTCACTCATGAAGGTAACAGCTCAGAAAGTGGACGTATGAACGAGTTCACCGCAACGCGTTTGATGGCACCATGCCAAACCACGCTTTAATCGAGATGCTCCATTTGCGCCGCTGCTGGCACGCAGCTCGTCCAAATCAACAAGTAAACTAGTGGGCGGATCGCTTTTGGGGGCGGAGCGCTTTCGAAGTCCTGCTCAGCAACCAGCGCACCTTTCGTCGTGAAAGCGCCACATCTCGCTTCCCTGGCAGCCAAGTAACTGATTCGTGTGGTGCATATGCTTCCCCGATGCGCTCCCTCTTTATCGTAATCGCTGCCTTTAAGTTCTTTTTAGCTTCTTTCACCAGAACGAAGTTATTTTCCAACCGTTACTACAGGGTGGGGCAAAATTACTGGTGCACCAATATTTTGTTGGCATTTCGAGACTAGCTTTCAGAAATCGATTCTAATCACGAATATTATTTGTAGAAAAGATGACAATTCAAAATATATTACAGTTTTCAAAATGATCGCCTCTAGCCTTTACACAGTTCTTTAAACATTTGGCATACGCATGCATGTGGCACGCAGGTTATTTTTCTGTTCCAGGATTCCAAAAGCGCCGTCATGAGGAGGTTCAAATTTCGGTAATTGATAGAGCAGACTTTTCCCTTTAGGGTAGCCCATACTTGGAAATATATCGGTCTTTCCGAGAATTGGAGAAGCCATTCGTCATAAGTTGGATGAGTTGAGGGTTTGCTCGGTGCACTGTTCCCTGGACCATTCACGGTAGTGTCAAGCAAGCAAGGACCGTGAATTTCACCGCAATGCCTCTCCAAAGTAAACACACGCCCATGGTTTTAAACGAATACCGAGTTTGAATGCAGTTTGAGCAAAATGTGCGAATTTGAAAAATGGTCGAAAACGGTTTCGCGCATAGCGCTCTGTTGGTGGTTGACTGGTGCATCGCAAAAGTCGGAAGGCATACTACGTATTAGGGCGTATTAGTAGCAGCGTGTTCAAGCTACATATTATGAAAAAATCAGACAAGAAAGTCTACAACAAGATTTTAAAAAATTCATTATATGTAGATGCACCAGTAATTTTGCCCCACTCCGTAGCCGACTGCATACACAGTTCGACCGTCAAATTTTAAATATGTAAAATCCACTGTAACCACCCCAAAAAGCACAACATGCAAAAAATGGATTCATGCCATGGAAGCAGGCACTGGGTGTAGCGGGTGAGCTTATGATGCAGAGCCATGCAGTCAAACCCCATTCCTGGTCCCTAGCTCCACTAAAACGAATTGAAAGGTTTAGAGGACTAAGAGAGGGGCTGTGTAAAAGCAGCCTTCATTCGCCTCAGATTGTTCCCTCCTCCGGGACTCAGTGTGCCCCACTCGACGCCACAAGCGCCTGCAAACACTCCAACCTAGCGCGCATTCAGCTAAAATTCGCAATTATTTCAAGACCCTGCCACCCCCTCCCTGTACATATGTTGACGATATTGAATTCAAATTGGGCGCAGTATTCATGTGGGTCCTTGGTTTCCTGAACTAAACGGTAGTACAGCTGGAGGAAAATCCATGTCGACGGACCAAGCGGATAGGAACGACGAAATAGTTGTAGATACCTTCAATTCTCTCACGAAAGCCTGCATAGTGTCGTAAACGACCATAGCATTAGATACGTATCGATCGTTAGAACGTGTCGGAGTTGACAATCGATACGCACCTAATGCTGTGCAAACGTTAAGATCGTTACAATCGGGCGACCAACTATGAATGCGCCCTAACACCTTTACGACAGCGCAGCAAGCTATGTATGCCGCCGTTTACAACTACGTAGGTAAACCCATTACATTCATTTTTTTTCGTACTATGGCCCAACTTTCTTCCCATCGCGGTTTCATGGTTATCATTTGATATTTCAACATCGTGATCAAGAATTATGCGACTCACAGAATGGACAAATCTATAGTTTGCAGTATTTTTAGACCTCGCAAAATTTCTATTCAGTTCTTTTTCAATTCTTTTCACTAATTCACTTTCAATAACTTTTAATTTCACTAACTGAACATGTCGGTAAAAAAGAAGAAAAGTGACTACAAACCCATTCGTAAAGCGATATGTATGTTTATTAGAGGAACAACCAAGTCAAAAACAATGTTGAATCCACTACAACAAAGGTAAGAAAAAAGTGCCGTTTCATAGCTATACGTCATTTTGGTCTAACTTCATTACTGCAGCTCCACATAGTTCAACCCCTTGTACATTATTGAGAAACTTTTGTCGCGCCCGAGTTTTGCGGTATTACAGCTCGAAATCCACAGATGTAAGGTTAAGGATGCGCCTGGGTCCACGCGGAGCACATAAGCCCAAAGCAGCGCAGGATCTCGCAAAAACTTTAAAACAAAAATGTTGATTGAATGTTAGTCGGAAATATGAAGTGTAGTGTCTAATCGCGCTATGTCAGGCGCAGAAAGAAACAAGAGAAGTGATCAAAAATTGGGAAACGGGGCATCTTACCGGTCGGATGGGCTTACGGCTAAGGTACTGGTCATTTAGATGAAGATACCTCAAAAGAATATGTGATAGGACAAGATGAGAAGACGTGGATTTATGTAAGCACGTTTTTGAAAACACCGCGGTAACGGTATACGAATATATCAAGGGCAATGCAGTTATGATTTCTTCCACACCTCTACGGGGCGGGGGTAGAGTGGGATACTTTTCACGCTTTGGGACTCTTTTCTTCACCTTACTTACCACTGTTAGTGCTCTGCTGTTGCTATTGCGCCTGTTATTGTGCCTTTGGGCAGGTCTACCCTCTTCACAAGGCATCTCCCATATATAGAATGCATGAACCCCCAATTTTAGCGATTGCAGCTTTTCAGGTATGGAAACCTACTCTGTTATAATAGGGAAAAGAGGGATGTTATAATAGGGAAAAGAAGGAGTCCATCAGGGAAGAAAGGTAGTTCTTCAAAGTGATAGGCTAATAACGTCATGGAGCTTCCTTCTCACATGTACGTCGTGTACGTCGTGTAAATAGAGCACGGGACAACGGAAGAGTGACTAACCATAAGATATGGGAGCTCTTGCGAAAGAGCGCTGAATAATCGCATTCTGGAAAATTCGAAAAAAAACACTAGCCATTATTGTGAACGTGAGACTGAATTGGAGTTTTCGCCCACCCAGTTGTGATTCAGCCTGCTGAATTCAGAAGTCAAAAGCCGTTACTTCTCCTAACAGACGTGTTTTGAAAGCTATGGTACGTATACCATGAAAAGCTGAGTTGGAATGAAATGGTGCCCCGGTAGCGTAACTGGTAGCGCACTTGCCCGGAAAGCGAGAGGTGCGGGTTCTAGTCCCGCCTGGGGCGAAAGTTTTGTTCACAACCCAGCATTCTTGTGAAAATATATAAAGAGTTAAAATCGATGGACAACTCACGCTAGAGGAAATACTAAATACAAAGAGACCAGGGGAGGTGAGCATTCCAGCGCTAAAGCCAGACAAAATAACGCATCTTCAGAGCGAAAAGGTAAATTGTGTGCATGAAGATCTTCCTAAGCACTGATTAACAATACGGAAAGTGCAGGGCTAGTGTAACTTCAATTCATCATTATAAAGGCAATGCGTACTTAAAATGCAATGAATAGAAAAGCCGAAAACTAAATCGGTGTTTTTTAGATGGCTACCATAACGGAAAGTCAAAGCGAGAGGGTGGGAGCACGGTCAGAAGAAGAGTAGGAAGAGTTAGCATCGTATAACTTCGTATAATAAAGAGCACAAAGAGTTAACGGACACATATGGTGCCGCACTCGATAGGGCTATTGTTTCCGAGGTAAATGGCGGACGTAAGGAAATTTATGAAAAAACTCCCGATCACCCAATTCTAATTAACAGAAACGCTTTTCCCCAACGAGATAGAAACACGAGCTAAATGATGCAGCAAGCGTGCTCGGAGAACACTCGCCATTTTGATTCATAGACAGCAGAAATCTCCGAATGTTTCATCACACTGGAATTTCTGATAAAACGGAAAAAGAAACATGATAGGAGGAAAACAGTCAGGGAAAAGACAATGCTACCACGTAAGCCTATTGAAAAAAAAAGGTTCACATTGAATATCACATGAAGAGCACATTTGTGCTTTGACGCGCATAGTTGATGAACGAGGAAGGCACTCGAAGGTAGTTTTTGGAAAGGAATGGGGTCCGGTTTGAAGAAGATTGTTCTCTTGGTAAGATTCAAACTTTTCGAAAAGTGAGAACTGGACGAAAAAGACATGAAAGCAATGAGAGATTCGTCATTTGGGATTTGTCAATACTTAGAAAAAAGAAACAGTTGAGAAAGCAACGTGATCAGCACTGATTTAGCACGCACTGAATTGATTTAGCGCTAGGGATAACAGCTTCAAATAGAACAGAGCCGCCGTTGGATGTAAAGCTCAGACGGAAAGAAGTTAAGAAGACGGACTGGTCTCCGACTCCGGTCCGTATCGCTCTGAGAGTTACGATGATGAGATGTATTGGCACAAAAATAGGCGCATGATTCCATAAGAGAAGGGACGCAAATCGCAATAAACAGCCCAGTGCATAAAAAACTAAGGACACAGGCTATGCTCTTCAAAAGATTAGGGAGAGTAGTTCTATCACCGGTCAATTGATTAAGAAACCTCTTTGAGCGTGCTCGCTTGAACAAAGCTTTCTGACTAGTGCAAGAGCAGCCTTCCTGCATTCTAATATCTGTGAATGTCCAGAGAGAGAGTTCCACTACGAGGTAAGCCTTCAAAAAAGACAAATGGAACGCAAGAAAAAGAACAGGAAGGCGTGGCACTGGGAAACAAAGAAATAAAGAGAGAAGGTACACGTGAAGGATTGGAGAAACTGCGACCGTAAGACCGATTTAACGACCCACCTGTAATGTAGTACGGAAGCAACTCGAAGCACTGCAAATAAGCCATGATCCCACTATCCATGTTGTTGTTTCCAAACGGCTTCCAACTACCAGATGCGAATAACGGATATCTTACTTCTTCACCAGTGGAACTAAATTCCCTCATTATGCACTCCGATCAACTTATACCTAATACACACCGCTCTTACCGTTTATACTGTATACATGAGTGGCTGCACATAGTTATGAGCTTGAAATTATCTCTCTTAACACCCGCACGCTGCATGAGCACCTGAAGGAAACAGAATAATGATTCAATTCGTAAATAAGCATATTGTGATTTAATGGATAAAAACGCCTACTACGCACATCTAACAGCAGAACTAGCTGTCCCCATGCGGCATTTATCTCCGGCCAATCGACGAGTCGATCTGGCAGTCGTCCAAGCCGAAAACCGTTTATCTCTCCTGTAATTCTCATGAAAGAAGATAAAGAACGGGATCACTCGTTGAATGACTAGAACATGGTCGGCAAGCGACTGACTCGCTCTCCTTATCCACTAAGCCAGCGCAGTTTGTAAAATAGTGCCGTCCAAGGAAGTAAAAATGCTAAAATTCCACAGCAAAATGCAATCAGGATCATCAAGACTAAGACGCTACTCGAATAAAAAGGATATGAACCTCCAGTAGCTGTCAATTTTTGCTACGCTCTGACTTATACACGGTGGTAAAGAGCTCTACTAAGCTTATCGAAATAGATATATCGATATTAACATCAGCAATATAGCAGCTGCACCTGCTAAAAAAGCACAGTTCCTCGAAGAAGGCAGGTTTACTCTGACATGAACAGTGGGAGAAAATGGTGTCGAAAATGAAAGCACGAAAAGAATACAGGAGAGGTAGAGCTACTCCAACTTGCCCTGAATCACCCATCGAAACGCGCGGCGTTAAAGTAGAACAAGAAACCGAAAACCGTGTAATGAAGTCATAGTGGAGCTGGGAGAACAAGCACCACTTTGATTCCCCCTTCAAATGAGAACTAACACACTTAGGCCTCTAACTTGCCGGAACTGGGAAGAAGGAAAAAGCAAGAA